AAGTTCGGTGAATGGTCACAGAAAGCGGACAGCGAGAAATATTCAAAGATACATGCCTCACAGGCCTTCAAAGGAGCCCCCCTCTGATACAATGCACCATTGACAACGTTCGTAGAACTGTTGGAAGCTTATGGAGAAGTCCTCTTTTTGTACTGCTTTCAGTTCCCTTGTCACAGCAGCTTGGACGTGTGAAATGTTGGGAAATCTGTGCCCTTTCAGTGCAGATTTCAGTTTTGGAAAAAGAAAGAAATCCGGTGGAGCCATATCAGGCGAATATGGAGAGTGGGACAACTCAGTAACCTCAGTAATGATTTCACATGGAACATGCAATTCTTCCACCATCATTTGGATGAAAAAACTCTGATCCTGCAAGAATAACTCACAAACTCTGCCGACATTTGCCACCGTTCTGCTTGTCAACGAACTGCAAGACGGAGGGTCATCTTCAATGGTTTGCCACCCTTCACGGAAATGCTTAAACCACTCATACGCTGTCTTTAGAGTTACAGCTTCATCTCTGTACACAATTGTCAGCATTTTGATGCCAATTTACCCAATTTGAAACAGAATTTCATATTGACTCTCTGCTCCATTTTCAGTCACAACGCAGTGCACTATTAACAGCTACTAAACGCTACCACATGAACATTGGCCTGTCAACAAATGCAGAGAGACGTGCACATATGTTAGCTGAGATACGGACGAACGCCTCCCACGTGTCTCCACGAATCCGGCAGTTCCCTTTATCTCATACAGGGGTGATTCACCTTACTTTCCAGTCACACCTTGTATGATAACATCACTGCCATTTTTGTGAGCCAGCGCAGTCAGGAACGGCTCTCCCTGTCTGTGGTCATGTTCCGAAATCCGCCCATACCTGCTGGCCACGCAAGAAGAGACCCAGGGTCTGCAAAGCCGTTTGGGTTTCTGTCTTTGTGGGAAAGGCAGCCATGACCTTGGCGAGGAAGATAAATGAGTTTCAACTGGAGGAGCTCGTCACGTTCAATGCAGGGAGCGGAGGTTATTTGATAGCACAAAGATGCCCCCCATCCTCATTTGTTTCCGCTGTTCGTAAGGGAAGGGGAGGGTGAGCAGTCATCAGAGTTTCTAAAGAAAGATGGAATCATAAGCCTTTGGATTCCACTGCAAGGGAATGGGGAATATTCCTCTGGGGTTTCATACGGACCCCACCCGGTTACAGTTTTCTAGCAGAAGAAGAGAAGAAGAAGAAGAGTTTGGATTTGATAACCCGCTTCTTACTACCCAAAGGAGTCTCAAAGCGGCTAACATTCTCCTTTCCCTTCCTCCCCCACAACAAACACTCTGTGAGGTGAGTCGGGCTGAGAGACTTCAAAGAAGTGTGACTGGCCCAAGGTCACCCAGCAGCTGCATGTGGAGGAGCGGAGACGCGAACCCGGTTCCCCAGATTACGAGACTACTGCTCTTAACCACTACACCACACTGGTTCTCCAAGGAGAGGGGAGAGGAACATTTTTCTGCCCAGGGGTAGCACTGCCTTTGAGGGAAATCTTCAGGGAACCACATGCCTGTGGTAGGCAGGGTCAGAGACAAAAGTGGGCAGAGCAAGGAATAGCTAGGACTCAGCTTTATATGTGTTTAAAGTGCTTTATATGTGTTGTATATGCGATATGACTTTGTGCCACCAGGTGGCGCTGTGGAGTCCTGTTGTTCACTACCTGTTTTCCCTGTTTAAATTTACAACACATTTAACTGAATTGCTTCTTTGATGTGTCTAGACCAGGCATCCCCAAACTCGGCCCTCCAGATGTTTTGGGACTACAATTCCAATCATTCCTGACCACTGGTCCTGTTAGCTAGGGATGATGGGAGGACCGAGTTTGGGGGTGCCTGGTCTAGATCCAGCCCTAATGCTATTCTAGGCTGCATCAACGGAAGCATAATGTCCAGATCAAGGGAAGTAATAGTACCACTCTATTCTGCACTGGTCAGACCACACCTGGAGTCCTGTGTCCAGTTCTGGGTGCCACAATTTAAGAAGGATGTTGACAAGCTGGAATGTGTGCAGAGGAGGGCAACCAAGATGATTAAAGGTCTGGAAACCAAGCCTTATGAGGAACAGTTGAAGGAGCTGGGTATGTTTAGCCTGGAAAAGAGGAGACCGAGAAGAGCTATGATAGCCATCTTCAAATATCTCAAGGGGTGCCACATGGAAGATGGAGCTTGCTTTTTTTCTCCTGCTCTGGAGGGTAGGACTCGAACCAATGGTTTCAAGTTCCAAGAAAAAAGATTTCGACTAAACATCAGGAAGAACTGACAGTGAGAGCTGTTCGACAGTGGTCTGCCTCAAGGAGTTGTGGACTCTCCTTTCTTGGAAGTTGTCAAGCAGAGGTTGGTTGGCCATCTGTCATGGATGCTTTAGTTGAGATTCCTGCATTGCAGAGGGTTGAACTAGATGACCCCATAAGGTCCCTTCCAACTCTAAGATTCTATAATACGTTATCTTTGAAGAGCAGGCTAGTTTCTACTCACACTTACACACCCACTGTCTACCTAGGCAAGCAAGAAGCACTTTCAGAGGTCAAGGAAACATCCCAAGCAGGCAAAAACATTCATGGAGGATGTGAAGCGAAGTTAGTAAGGGGGAGGAGGTGTGGCCTAGAAAGAGTCCTGAGGGCCAGATGGGGAAACTTGAAAGGCTACGTGGTATTTAAGGTTTCTCATCCCTCTTCTAGGTTTTGAGGGGTTGTTGAGCAAGATACATCTACAGGGACGTTTGCTTCCCTCCCTCCCTCCTTTGGGTCCTGTTATGTACTGAGTATATTTCAGGTCCCAATCCATGCCACTGGCCAGAGTTAGAAGGCAAGAGAATGGAAGGTGGGGGGTGGGATATCAGGGTGAGAGGACTTCAGTAGGGGATGATGGGCCCCTGGCTGGAGTGTGGGCCTTGGCAGATTCCCAGCAATGCCAGCGCACGATGCCAGCCCTGCCAGAGGCCACAAGAGTTCGATGCTATTTAAACCCAGGCCAATTTGGGCACCGGTTGATCTTTGCAAGATAAATGGGTTTGCGGCATTCCTCTGGGTGAAGGCAAGGACAGGGTGCCCTTTCTCTGCTGCAAAAAAACAAAAAGGGCCCTGAAAAGCGATAGGGAGAGTCAGACAGACTCTGCGTCGGAGTTGCCCTCTGGGATTCAAAGGCCAAGACTGGGAAAGAGTTGGAAAGTGGCAAAACACCAGGATAGAGGAGAGAGGATCAAGCCCCTTGCAACCACAGAAAAGAAACCCCACACAGGCACCTCAAGGTTTAATCGGGGAGCCACTGAGCGATCGGATCATAGTTCCTATCTTGTCTAGGGACAGTTGGGAATTTCAATTCAGTTCACATTTAAAGGGGAATCTACTTAACCTGCCTTTTTTCTGAAGCAGGACCAAAAGAGGACACGGGTGGCGCTGTGGTCTAAACCACAGAGCCTAGGGCTTGCAGATCAGAAGGTCGGTGGTTCGAATCCCCACGACGGGGTGAGCTCCCGTTGCTCAGTCCCAGCTCCTGCCCACCTAGCAGTTTGAAAGCACATCAAGTGCAAGTAGATAAATAGGTACCACTCCGGCGGGAAGGTAAACGGCATTTCCGTGCGCTGCTCTGGTTTGCCAGAAGTGGCTTAGTCATGCTGGCCACATGACTCAGAAGCTGTCTGCAGACAATCGCCGGCCTCTCTGCCAGTAAAGCCAGATGAGCGCCGCAACCCCAGAGTCATCCGCGACTGGACTTAATGGTCAGGGGTCCCTTTACCTTTACCTTTTACAAGGACCAAAACTCAGCCATCCTTTGAAATTCGCACTTCTCCTAATGTCGCCATGCAGTCCTCCAGCCAAGAAGCGTGTGCAACAATGCATCTACTAAATTGTTCATTAAAATGCATGCAAATATGTGTTATTTTAGGGGAAATTGCTTTGTAAACGTGCATAAATGAGGAGAGATGTGCACTAAGATACTGGTGGGTTGTTGCTGTTTTTAAATTGCAAATTGATGTGGCAACGTGGAGAACTGGCCTTGGAAAAATGAGAAACAGAGAGAAAGCGAAATTGGCATATCCAGCCATCCCCATGCATCTAGAAATGATATGACAGGAAATGAGCGAAATTGCACTCATTAAATTTTTAGACCAGGACCTGGGAGACCAGGGTTCAAATCCCCACTCAGCCATGAAGCTCACCAGATAACTTTGGGCCAGTCACTCACTCTCAGCCTAACCTACCCCACAAGATTGTTGTGGGGATTAAACAAGAACCATGTGTGTCGCCTTGAGCTCTTTTGGAGACGACGCAGTAAACAAATACAGAAATCGATGGTCCCTAGCAACCAGCATTCAGAGGCATACTGCCTCTCCTGCTGGAGGTAACATGGCTATCATGGCTAATTGTCACCGATGGTCTTGTTCTCCAAAAGCATGAGCACCACATTGTTCATGCTACACAATGATCTGCTGCAGAACATATTTAACATGCATGCAAATTTTATGGCCACCTTTGGGAACATCCCAAACCGGCCTTTCCATAAAACAACGACAAGCCCCCCGAAGATTAATGCTCAGAGCAAATCGGCAATCACAACAGAGTGTAAATGTCTAAGTCCTCACAGAGGTTGTGTAACTATCCCACGACATCCCAAAGTGCCGGAGGCAGAAAGGGAGCTTCCTTCCTGTTTTGTCGACTCGTCAATTGTCATCACATCAGCACAGCGTGAGCTGATGTTGTTGACGCGCTGGCCATGTTGAAAGAGAGCATCCATCTGCAGAGATCCCCTCCGTTGAAAGTGATTTGCTTTTAGTGCTTACAACTCCTCTTACAGATAATTTTCAATGGCTAAAGCAGATATGGTGGGCAGGGACAGCGGCCTGCCTTTGATTCTACAAAGGGACGTTGTTCAGTTAGCCGCTTCCATTTCAGGGATCCATTTCTGGACTATTTTGGAAAGCAGAGCTTCTTGTTGAGAAAACCATAGCCCTTCAGGGGGGCTCAGGGTCTTAGCTCTGTGGTAGAACATCTGCCTTGCATGCAGAAGGCCCAAGGTTCAATCCCCAACATGTCCAGGTAAGGTTGGGAGAGGCTCCCTGCCTGAAACCCTGGACAGCAACATCTGGTCAGTGTAGACAACAATGAAGGAGATAGACCAATGGTCTGACAGAGCACAAGGCAGCTTCCAAGGGGCTGTATCCAGTGTCCTCTGCCTGGTGGCACAAAAGCTCTTACTCCAGCGGGTGGCTGAGTTTTAACACAGGTATCCATTTCAATGGACCCTTCTGAGGCATTCAGAAGCATGCTGCATCTGACAACGGAGCCCGGACATATCAACCAGGGCTAGCACCCAGTGAATTTGTCCAACTCTCTTGCAAAGCTCTTGCAAGTTGGTGACCTCCTGTGTGAAGAAGTGCTTCCATTTGTGCGTGTCATGGAAGAGGAGAGATTGGTCATTGGTTCCTATTCATTCATGGAACCTCCAGAGTCAACAGCAGCGTCCTGCTGAACACCTGTTTCAAGGTAGGGGCAATGGAGAAGGGCTATTGTCCATCTCCTCTTTATGGACTTCTTTAAGGCATCTGTGAGGAACAGGATACTGACATAGGTGGACCCTTATCCTGAACTAGCAGAGGTCATCTTGCGTCCTTAAAAAAACGTCTTCCAAGAAAGAGGGATTTAAAGATAATGGATAATCTAGGTCAGGGGTGGGAAACCTATGACTCGCCAGATGTTGTTGAGACTCTAACTCTCATCATCCCTGAGCGCTGGCCATGCTGGTTGGGGCTGATGTGAGTTGCAGTCCAACAACAGCTGAAGGACACAGGTTAGCCACACCTTCCCTCTCCTCACTTTCATTTTGTGTATTGTCCAACTATGCTGGTCCCGGGGGGTTACCGTGCAACGTGGTCTGAGGTCGAGGGTATGGTATGGAGGCTGTCCGTCAAGGCTGAAGCGGGGTCCAAGGCAAGGAGTCGGGTGTGGTCAGAAACTCTGGCAGAAGAGTAGGAGAGGGTGCCAGCAGGAACAGGTTACCAACAATGTTGCTCCCACAACCTGGCACTGGGCTGACTGGCTTTTATCTGCCCCGAGGCATAGGGCGGCCCCGGTCCACGGGTGACCCGCCTCTCCTGGCCTGGGGGCGAGCACTCCTCCTGTGGGAACTTAGTTCCCTCTGCCTCTCTGCCCTGAGCCTCTGCAGCTCAGGAGAGGCTGGAGGGTTACTGGACCCAGAGGCAACCTCACCTTCCCCTGACGGGGCTGAGAGTGGAGCACCTGCAGGCAATGGGTCCTCCATCACCTCCGGAGCCTAGCAGATTCAGCTGGTGTCTGCTCCTGAGGATCCGGCACAGGTGAGGACCCTTCAGGCTCATGCCCCAGCCCCAGCTCAGCCAGTCCTGGAGGCGGGGACTCCTGTGCAGGCTGGGATTCCTCAGGTTCAGCCTCGGAATCCGATTCCCAGGCCATCACACCATCATATGCTGAAGACTCACCTCTTGGCTCTAGCTCTGACACTTGAAATACGTATATTTGTTTTAAACAGGTTTCTTGGTTGTTAAGTTGCTTTGATTCTTTTTGCTGGAAAGCAGTGTACAATAAAATTATGAATGGGTGAGCCAATGCTTACTGGAGCTGATGGGAGTCTGTGTCCAACAACATCTGAGCCCAGACTGACATCATCCCCAGTGAGTGCAGCCAATGGTCTGGGAGATGTAGTCAACCAATATCTAATAATAATAATAATTTATTATTTATACCCCGCCCATCTGGCTGAGTTTCCCCAGCCACTCTGAGCGGCTTCCAACAGAACACTAAAATACAATAACCTATCAAACATTAAAAGCTCCCCTAAACAGGGCTGCCTTCAGATGTCTTCTGAAAGTCTGGTAGTTGTTTTTCTCTTTGACATCTGGTGGGAGGGTGTTCCACAGAGTGGGTGCCACTACCGAGAAGGCCCTCTGCCTGGTTCCCTGTAACTTGGCTTCTCACAGTGAGGGCACCGCCAGAAGGACCTTGGCGCTGGACATCAGTGTCTGGGCTGAACGATGGGGGTGGAGACGCTCCTTCAGGAGTCTAGAGACTGCAGCCCTGGCTTTTGAAGTTCCTTGGGGCTTTCTTTTGCCCTCTCTGCTTTTTAGCACCTACTTTGACTCCTTTCTTCATTCCTTCTTTATATACTGTCCAGTTGTGTTTCTTCCCCCTCTCCTGGGAGTCGGCTGCGATTCGATTACTTAGAAAGGGAAGTTCCACAGGGTCTCCGCTCTTTGTTTATGAAAATGGCTACAAAGACGTGGAGAGAAGCCACCCTTAAGTCAGCCAGCCAAACGGTGGAATCCACTGCCTTTGGTCGGACTTTGGATTAATTAGCTGTGTGTCTAATTAGCAACAGGCTCCCCTTGGTTATTCTGAAACTGTAGCTGCCGCTCATCAACCGGAGGCCATCAGGAGGCTTGTCAGAAATCAGAATGCGTTCCAGCTGGCCTTTGCCACCCCCACCTTCTCCCTCTCCTAAAAAAATACTAAGACTGCAATTCTATACCCATTTATCTAATGGAATCTCCACTGATCTCAATGGGAGTTACTTATCTCTTTTAATAGATAAAAGTATGTATTTTAGTTGAAAACAAACTGAATTTCCAACAGAAGCCTTTGAGACCTGCCTTTAGGTTCATCTCTGTGACATAAAGGGCTGAATCCAACCAACTTGTTCTGTCAGCTCGGGGATTTATGCTTGTTCAATTGACTCCCCCCTCTTGTCTCTCCCTCCCCCAACAGGCTTGTTGTGAAGATGGGAGGGGGGAAACTTCATACACCATCTTGAGATCATTGGATAAAAGATTAGGATATAAATACAACTAATAAATATTGAGGAGCTCATCCTTGATCCACCATAATTTATGAATTAGAATGTGATTGGCATGCTCAGCTGTCTTCCCCCCCCCCCACCCCACCAGCATTGTTACCGACAAATAAAAATGAAAGTAAAATACAACTGAACCAAATCACAAACAATTGAACATTTTGGGCATTTCACTCATCCAAAGGGTACACCAACGGCAAATGAGATTTACTTTGGAGTAGACCTACACTGGCCCCAAGTACATTTCCGAGCACAATTCAAAGTGTTGGTGCTGACCTTTAAAGCCGTAAATGGCCTTGGCCCAGTATACCTGAGGGAGCGTCTCCACCCCCATGGTTCAACCCGGACACTGAGGTCCAGCGCCGAGGGGCTTCTGGCGGTTCCCTCACTGCAAGAAGCTACAGGGAACCAGGCAGAGGGCCTTCTCGGTAGTGGCACCCGCCCTGTGGAACGCCCTCCCATCAGATGTCAAAGAGAAAAACAACTACCAGACTTTTAGAAGACATCTGAAGGCAGCCCTGTTTAGGGAAGCTTTTAATGTTTAATAGACTATTGTATTTTAATATTCTGTTGGAAGCCGCCCAGAGTGGCTGGGGAAAGCCAGCCAGATGGGTGGGGTATAAATAAATTGTTGTTGTTGTTGTTGTTGTTGTTGTTGTACGTGCAGGATTGCAGAGTGAGATTGGTGGACCTTTCCATATCCTTCCTTCTATGATTACCTCAAAAATGGAACTCCACCAAACTTCTTAGCACAAGGCAGAACCTCTTCCCTTCCCAGGGGCATAGCATTGGGGGGAGGCAGGGGGTATAGCCCTGGGCAAACAATTTTGAGGGGGCACAAACCAGGTGCCCCCACGAGGGATCCCCATCCCGCCCTGCCTGCTGCCAGATGTTTCTGGGCCCCAGAGCCTTGCCGCCACATCCCTCTACCCCTCACTGAATGGCCACCCAGCCAGCATCAGGGGGATTCACCCACCAAGAGCCACATCGACTGACTGGGCTCCCCCTGTGCGGGAAGGCAGGTGGCACAGCATGGCCTTGTTTGGCTCTGGTCGCGAGTGCCATGGTGTGCTTTGTGAAGCCTCTACACCCCGCGCCCGACTGGGGGTGGTGGTGAGGGCTGGTTTGGGCATGGTAGGCTCCATGAACTCTCCACACCGTGCCACCTGTTAGAATTCCTGCTCCATGATTGCAGTCATGGGATTTTTGTCTATCACATGATTGTATATGTTTTGACTCCACAAAGTGGGAAGTGACGGAAACAGGATGTTTGTGTAACTGTGTTCCGTGAAGTGGAACTATTGTCCTTTGCTCTTTTTCCTCTTTGCTGTCTGATGCTAGAGAGAGAGGGAGCCATGTTGCAGTGCTCCGTGTGTGTCTATATGTAAATAAAGTAGATTAGCCAAAATGCTGAGTTGCAGAGGTCTGTTACGCAAGTTGTGCAAACTCTGCGGATCCCTAAATGTGCCGGTGTCGATTGGCACCAGTCGCTGTGATGTTCGGGCTGAAGAAAGCTTTTGAATCTCCCGAACGATCGACCAGGAGGGAGGGAACATGCCAGTCGGGCGTGTGTCTCTACCAGGGTCCTACTCGTGTGTAGGCTGAACTCCCCGTCCCGTGTGAGTCTCAGGCACCAGCCAACGCTGCAACGCCGCTGCTCCTTCCTTCTACAACATTCGTTTTCTTTTTGATTGATTGCACCCAAATCCATTCATATCCAAGTCTCGGGCCTTTGGCCACAGCAGATAGATCAAGGAGGAGAGATGAAAAGTTAACCAGAAGTTCCCATGGGGCGTGGAGATCTTCTGGCTCATGTACAAGCCTGCAGAAGGGGGTGGGGTGGGAGGAGTTGCCAGATACATTTCTGAGACACGAATTGGAACCCACTAATAATAAGCAAAGCACTGAACCACACAGACATCACTTTGAAGGAACCAAAGTCACGCGTCTGGCATTGCAGAACTTCGCCATATAACTTCTTGCTCCATGAACAGGGTATCATAATAGTTATTTCAGAGCACAGCATGGTTTGTTTTGATAAGAGTATAAACTGCCTCGTTTTCCCCCGGCCTGGCAGGGTGCCGTGTTTTGCCCAGCAGTAAAGAGGGTGGCAGGAGATGGAATGGGACTAGCAATAGGGATGGTGGAGGAATTCAATTCAGTTTCCAGTTAAAAGGTGGCCATACCTTATTTGTGCTTCCTGACAGAATTTGA